TTTAATTATTATTATTATTATCTACGAAGAGGGGACAATCACGTGCCTTCGGACACAACAACAAGTGGATAAGGACAACGTTGGACTGGACCGAGATTTTCTGGGTGCCCGACCCGACCCGAATACTGATACCTTTTTTCCCTTTTTCCAAAATTATTTTAAAATCATGGAAATTGTTTTAATGTGTTCCTTTGTTTGGTTATACAATTCTTATAACTGTTTTTACTGTTATATTTTGGCCAATAATTTAAATATGTTCTCAACGGAAGTGAGAAATTTCCTAATTAAATTGTGCAAAAAACAACCATAGTTTATAACATTAAAATACTAAAAATGAAATAGTTGTCTTTATAAACTTACATATACAATATTAAAGTTTAGGTATCTATTAAACAATCTTTCATGTTCAATAGCTTAATTAAATACAATTTTTAAAGTTCAAGGACCAAAGTTATAATTTAACATTAATTTTGCTTCAACGAAAAATACTAATTCTAAAACTTATTAAAATTATTGAGATTAATATTTTTTATTAAAAAATAAAATATAGGGTTTAGAGTTATATTACAGTCCTTAATCACCCCTAAAGTAGACTATGAAAGCCCATTCCTCCTCCCTTTTTTCTTTTTTACAATTTAGAATATAACATTACGTACAACAACAGAGATTCAAATATTTTTCTACACTAGATTATCAATATCTTAAGAATTAAGAGTATGATTATAACTACTCCTTAATTATGATTTTTTCAATTTTTTCTTTAATTAAAATATCTCATCGAAGTCAACATGAGCTTAGTTCGATAGTAATTAGCACCTGTTGACCAATAGGTCATGAGTTCGAATTCCCCGCTCCTACTTATACTCTAAAAAAATCTCATCAAAAGCTCCCCGTCGACCTTAATAATTTAATTATTTCCATTCCTGCCCTCTCACTATTGGCATTTTTTTTTTAAAACAAAGAACTCACTATTGGCAATTGGCATCTAGACAAATTTTACCAAATTTAAAATAGTGTACACGTACAACTAACCCGTTTTCTAATATAAAAATTGCATACAAAGATGATGAATAACTAACCAAAAAAAAAATAATGTATTTAAAAAGAATAACAATGACATATTTTGGACATTTTTTGTAATGTGGTAGATTGACAAACTAATTATTAAATATAATTATTTTGAAACTAATTTTAAAAATACTATCGACTTTATTTGAACTTGTATAAAGTGGTAAAAAAATGTTGTCTCTTCAAGAAACGACCTTGTCTTGTATGAACAAATCGTCTCTTGAAGAGACGACATCATCTGACAACGTATTCTTTTCAAACTCTAAGCTTGATTGTCCCATTGTTCCATATGTAATTTTTTCCCTGTTTAATTTTTTATTACTTTGCTGACTTGTGGTTGGATTATTTAAATAATTAAATTTAGTTTGTTTAATTAGTTAAATAATATTTATATATTTATAACTTAGTTAAATAATTAAGTAGTCAATTTAGGTTTGATTAATTTATTTAAATATTTAATTATATTTAGTTTATTTAAATAGTTAGTTAATTTTAGTTTAAGCAAGATCACACAACTCAAAAATTAGAACTAGTTTGAAGAGTCGATCTGGCTATATGTGTGTCAACAAGTCTTGTTTTATTAGTCTATCTTTTCTTCTCCGCAGAAATACGATCAAAACAACCTTATTTTTTAAAATTAGTTTCAAAATTATTAGTTAATTTGTTCCAATATATCCTACATATGTTAAACTACAAAAGGGCAAATATGAAAAGAAAAAATAGGTGGGGGCAAAACTGAAATATTGTGTGCACATTTTCTATAAAGCAAGTAAAATATTAATAATTGCCTTTCAAAAAGAAAAAAAAGTATATTTGATTAAACTTCTAAGGTCCTTATTGACCGAACAGTGCTAAAATTTTATTATTCGGAAATGGGAAAAAATCAATCACTCTCATTTTTAAAAAGAGATTTTTGTTAAAAAGTAGGGCATATTATAAGATAAGAATAGGATTTGTGAAGGAAAAAAAAAAGAAAAAGAAAAAGAAAAAAGGAAAGAAGGAATATGATTCTTTTTTATTATTATTATTTGTACAAAAATAGAATAGATGGGAGAAATTTAATTAAAAAAAAACGTAAAATCAAATTTTACCAAATAAGTTGTCGATTAACAAATTCAATTCTTCTTACAATATCATTTAAAAATTAAGAAAAAATAAGAAAAGAAGAATTATTTTTAAAAAAATTAAGAAAAAGTACTAAACATAATATAGAATTAATATATACTTTTTAAAATATTTAAACTTTTTGTTTTTCAAATGTAGCATCACTATTTTTAGAATGTTTTATGTTAAATATATTGATTTAATTGTGCTAATTTTATAAAAAAAATTGGCTAGAAAATACATATTTATTGTGTTATATTCACGTAAACGTCTCTTAATTAAAATAAAGTCGAAGAAAATTGATTTCTAAAAGCCATATTTGATAACTAATTTATTTTCCTTTTTAAATTGTAGATAGGTTTTAAGAAAATTTTAGAAAGTAAACAAATTAAAACGTATTATTTATTGAATAAACATTTTCTCTCAGGTATTTTTTTTGTTTAACTTAATTTTTAATAACCTTTGTCAAATGTCACAGATGAAATTAAAAGGATCCCTAAATTTTTAAATATTATGTTTTAGTCCCTTCATTTTATATAAAAAAATTAATTTAATCTTTAAAGTTAATTTTATTAATTATAAGTCTAAATTTAAATTCACTCTGAAACCAGATTTTGACTTATTAATTTCAAATATTTGTTCCAATAGAAATTTAATTGGTAGGTAAATGAATAAAGACACGTATAAATTTTCATGAAATAATTGTTTAGAAAAGCAAATAACGATAATAACTAGAATTGATCTTAATTAATTTAAAGCTCAAAGACTGAAATAAAATTGAGCTAAAATAAACTGAAAAACGCACACAAAATCAAGTACCAGAAAAGAATTCAAACCTTTTTAAAACATGAGTTTAATTATTTTGTTATTTAGACAATTAATCAAGTTGTTACAAGTTCATCTATAAAATATTGTCTCATATCTATGTTCTTTTTNCAAATTCGATAAGTTTAATAACTTTTGCAACCTTTTATATATGTAAAACTAAGCTCTCAAGAATTTCATTGGATGGTTTATACAGAACCAATTCCCATTCACAAAAGTGAGAGGAAAAAAAATATCAATCCATTTGTTTAAAAAGTAGTAAATAAAAAAAAACGTTAAAATACAAATGTAGTCGTGAACTTTCAGAGTTGTATTTAACATATCTCTAAATTTTAGAAAATGTTTAATTAAATCTTTAGACTCTAAATTTTAAAATAATGTCTAACACAAAATTGAAAATTCATAGGCTTATTAGATATTTTTTTAAAGTTTTAAAAAATTTGTAAAAGATATTTGTAACAACCTTAAAACTTTGAAGGCTATTATTTTATAAAATAATTATTGATTCACATGCATTCAATTTCTTTCGTACCGACTAATTTTTAGCGTTAGTGTTAGACTCTTGCTGTTCTATATTTATACAACTCTAAAATATTATTTA